ATGAACAAAAAACCATGTGAGTTTTATTTTTGAAAAAAAAAAAAAAAAAAAAAAAAACTCTCTGGAAAGATTAGTTATGCAATGAACAACTAATTTATGGAATTCCTAAAACAATCTCTGGGAAGTACTTAAAATCATCTTCTGTGAATAGTAACATCCTCCCCAAACAAATTGCAATGAAGGAAGGAAATGATAGGTTCTGCATGTCCCATTTGCCATTTTTTCATAAATGGTTCCTAAATCATTCTACTGGCTTTTTAGCTAAGTTCTCTGGTACTAAGGCATTGTTTCCTGAAGGAACACGCTGACTTATAATGAACAAAGACGCCAGGCCAAAGAGCCATAGGTAAAATTTCAAGATACAATTGATTATTCTTTCCTTTGGGCTGACAACTTCCAGGTTAGGAATTGTTTTCAGAGCATTTGCGGCTCCATAAAACTGGCATTCTGGGGAAATGCTATTGTTTACTCTTTCACACTTGACAAAAGCAATTCCCACGTGAAAGACAAGTTTAGCGTGGGACAGAGTCTGTTACCTAAAGGAGGAAACAGTCTGGTGAGTTCCCAAGCTTGAAAAGTTGTCATATTGTCACCTCCAATTGCCCAGCCACTGTGTTTTTCAGCCATGGCTATTTTGGACATTACGTTTTTTTGGTTTTTGTTTTTTTCTCCCTATAGTTCACACAAGTCACATAGAATGATCAATCATAAATGAAAACAACAGAACAATGCACGTTAAATTAGTTAAAAAAAAAAAAGTAACTTTTCCTCAAATGCAAACTTACAACAAGAGTATACTCTTTCTTGATTTAAAAGTGGTGTGTATTTTCAAATGGCCTTGAATTCTGCTTTTGCCATTTCTAATCCCCATAAAAAGTCCTAGTAACATGTGCGGATGGGGAGTGTGGGCTTTTGTGAATGGGCAAGTTTTAAATTTCCGTTTAGAAGGATGCATTACACTTTTGGCTCCAACAGCCTTTATGTCTTTGATAGACTGATCGGGGCACACCTTTGGATGTCATCCTTCTAATGTGATAAGAATGATCAGAAGGGTGTCATCCTTCTTTGCAAGAATGATCAGGAGACAAGAATGTCTACAATGAAGACGTGATCGCCTTCCCTTCAATGCTCTCAGCAGCTGCCTGGTCCTCCCGCAGGCAGGAAGGAGGAAGCCCTTTGCTGGCTGTTCTACTGTGGCCCTCAGCGCATAGCTGCCTGGAATTGCACGAGCGTAGGGAGGTGGGGTTGATTCGGATGGACTGTCCTGATTCACGCTGTGATAAAGCTTCACCATCACCGTATTACACCCACATCTCACATCCCTGGGGCCCATTTTAGAAGCTCCAGTTTAAGATTAATGTGCTTAATATATATATCTATATATATATATATAAAAGTCGATTTCAAATAAATAAGCATTATAACGTGCTATCCAGGTGCTATTTACAAATCAAGAGCAGATGAAATAGTACAAAATAAAAGCAGGCAGAAGTCCGACAGAGTCTCAAATTCAACTGTCCTCATTCTGAGCGGGGAAATTAACTTATTCATGTCCATCTTTGGCAGAAACCAGCAACTGTTTAAATTATTCAGTTTGTGCAGCTTCAAAACTTAAAAATAAAAAGAGGTTGGCATCAGAGTGGAAGGAAAGGATCAGTCCCAAGTTGTTGTTTTATCAGGCAGGAGAAAACAGCAAAAGCGAAAACAGAGAATGCAGTGCAGGGATCCTCCAAATCCAAACGCGCACCAGGCCGGCCCCAGAGAGCAGACCCCTCCGCCTGAACGGGGAGCCCAGAGCTGGGACCTGGGGCTCTCATTATTACTCCTATCATCTCCGAATTCATTTTGGGAGGAGCATCTCCTCTGAGCCTGAAAGTTAGCAACAGTGACAATAAATCAAGATGATATGAGACAACTGTTACTTTTTTTAACGAGTCCTTTAATGTTTTACATTACTTTGTGTGGTACAATCATTCCTTGTGCTTTTAAATTTGGAGATCCGAGAGAAAACAGCCTTTTTGTTGCAGTGCTCACCTCTAATTGTAACTTCTTTCTTCTGAAGGATTTCTTCCCCTGTGTATACGTTCCTGGCTCTGCAGGCATAGGTGCCTGAATCTTCCAGGGAAACGTTCTTGATGACAAGATGGAGAGTGAGGGAGTGTTCTTTCGTGACAGCCATTTTCTGCTTGCTAATGTTGTGGTGCATTGTTCTGTTATTAACCGTCCGCAGCAAAACCCACGCGATGTCTCTGTACAAGAACTTGTTAACTGTGCAAGACAGTTTCAGGTCCTCTCCTTCTGTAGGCATCTTTTCCAAGTTAACGTGAAACCCATTGGGTACATCTATAAAGGAAGAATAAAGAAGTTCACTTCACAGAAAGCAATCAGTGTCGCATGATCATTGATGAGCTATTTGGAGAGCCAAAGAATTGTTCCTACATGGATTCTGTCTGCATTGGCATTAAAAAGGGTATTTTAATTTTTATTATTTTTGATAGTGGTAGGGGAATTGAATAAACATAGCAGGTAGTGTGAGCAACTAAATCCATTCCATTCAAAATGGGGTAGGGAATGCAAACAGGACCCTTATTAAAACAGTACTTTTGGGGACCAGCAGGTGGTGTGGTGGCTAGGGCGCTGGACATGACCAACCGTGGTTCAAGTCCTGGGCCTGGTGGTTTGCTTTCTCACTTTCCCTCTTTTTCTCTGTGTCTCTCTCTGTTCAAATTAAAAAAATGAATGAATAAACAAAATTTTAAAAAAACAGTATTTTGCCCTCCTTTGCCCACGTTTGCTTGTCAAAGTAGAATGTTTTTCCAACGTGGGATGATCAACTTGTTTCCCATTTCTTCATCACCTACGCCAGAACTCCTACTGATAAGTGGACGTTTGAAGTGGGCAAAATAATGCAGTAATATAAGAGCTATTCCTACTAAAAAAACCCAAAAGTACCTTTATAGTTAAACTTATCCACCACAGCTTGGGGACGAGTGAGACTAGGAAGTCCGACACACATGCCCATCAATACCACATCTGTCCTCGACTTTTCCAGTGAGAAGCAACTGTGACGCAGATGCCTCCTCCTGCCGCTATCCCAGAGGACTCTTCCTGGTCTCCGGCACACGGGCCCAAGAAGAGAGTTAGGGCCCGGACTTTTCTCTGTGTCTCTCTCTGTTCAAATTAAAAAAATGAATGAATAAACAAAATTTTAAAAAAACAGTATTTTGCCCTCCTTTGCCCACGTTTGCTTGTCAAAGTAGAATGTTTTTCCAACGTGGGATGATCAACTTGTTTCCCATTTCTTCATCACCTACGCCAGAACTCCTACTGATAAGTGGACGTTTGAAGTGGGCAAAATAATGCAGTAATATAAGAGCTATTCCTACTAAAAAAACCCAAAAGTACCTTTATAGTTAAACTTATCCACCACAGCTTGGGGACGAGTGAGACTAGGAAGTCCGACACACATGCCCATCAATACCACATCTGTCCTCGACTTTTCCAGTGAGAAGCAACTGTGACGCAGATGCCTCCTCCTGCCGCTATCCCAGAGGACTCTTCCTGGTCTCCGGCACACGGGCCCAAGAAGAGAGTTAGGGCCCGGACCCCCTTTTTATGATGATGGTTCCACTTACATAAAAGAACCAAGATCTCTTCTGAAAATACTGACAACTAATCAGGAAGAGTTGCCAGATCCCAAATATTTAAAACAAAAACAAAAAGAAAAACAAATTTACTCTCAAAAACATTTTAAACATGTTCTGAAGGTAACCGTGTCATGACAAAGCATTTTCCTCATTGTCATGTCCCGGCTAACCTTCATTTCTATCCTCTAAGTGCCTCTAGCAACACCCCACACAGCTCTCCCCTCGGCATTACTACCCTAGAACTTTAACTTTTGGAATGAAGACCTTTAACTTTTGGAATGAAAGCGCCTCAGTGTCACTTGGGACCATTTCACCAGAGGACCTTTCAAAAATCATTGGTTACAGGCCCTTAACTGACCTGCTCTCAGAACCCTCCCATTGCTTATTAACAGTGGCGTATCCAGATTTGAGCAAAGAATTTGGGCCAACATTTTACAAAGTGCTTTGAAGATGAAAAGCACTATGTTATGCCATTATTATTATTATCCTCTGCACACAAAGCTATAAAGAAACCTTTAAACCTTAGGGGGACAATAGTCCAAAATTAGATATCATTATCAACTCTTTCCTAAATCTCACTTTGCTTGTTTTTCTGATTTTTCTGGGCTTTGGCTTTATTATAAAGTGTCACGTCTGAAGAAATGCCAAAGTATTCATTTGAAACCTGGGAGCGGGGGGTAACGGCGGCGTAAGAAGCTGTCAGTGGCTGAGGAGAGGAGACCAGTGGAGGTTTTCCTGCTTTTAACCTGAAAACCTAAGCATGTGCCAGAGATGCAGGAGCAGCGGGCACAACAATAAGGTTTCAGAAATAGCTGCCGTAATCCAGCATCTTTTTATATTGAGGACATTTTCCAAGGATGAGGAGCAAAACATCAGTCATCGACCTTCACACAGACACCGGAGCAGAGGCACCGTGCGCTAGCCGCCATCGAATCTTTTCTTCAGAGACGACAGACGTACCATTTAGGAGGGCTCATCCCGGTGGTGAGGACCCAAGTGAGTCCAAGTAACACCACTGAGATCATGTAGAGAGTTTCTATTTACTTTAGTGATTTGAAACTTCCTGTGGAAATAGCTCACAGGTTTCCTGATGGAAGATTTTGTTTATCTTTGCCAAGCACCACCAGGAATCTCAAAATAAAATGCATTTAGTGACATTGGGAAACCAGGGAGATAAGGCAGTGCTGTTCCTGTCTCAGCCTCCGTAATTGCTCACACACCCATAGTCGTGCTGAGTGCCAGCAAAACAGCAGCGACACACACACACAGGAAAAGAAGACCACCGAGCTGAGTTTGAGGTCTCTTTCTTATTGAGAGGCTGAAGCCAATTTGGTTTAATCAGACAGCTTCTTCGAAATGATTCTCCATTTGTCAGTATAACCTCTCTGGGATTCTCTTTTGATCCATGGAACAGGATAAATAAAATGTTCTCAACTATTTCATAAACCCCCGAGAGATTTTCCTCTTAATTCGTGTTGATTTTTTTCTGAGCCCAAGTACAAAAGCAAACCCAAGAAGGAAGAGCTTTTTAACCCTCAGTAAGAAAGCAAGGAATCTTCCTACACTAAAGTATCTGTTACAAATTCAGCATAATCATCACCAAATATGATTCATCTAACACATCATCACATTCGTGAAGTCTTCTGAGGTGTCATGGAAAAGAATCAACTCTGGTTCAAAATAAGACACCCAACCTAGGGTTCGGTGAAAGAGTAATCTATTTATAAAGGTACATATTTAGAGGCAGGCATTTTGACTCTGTTGAATCCGACATGTGGATTCAGTTCATGAGGAAGATAAGCATAGAAATGAAAAGGATGGAGCCAGCCTGCGGTGTGGGGTTAAGGTGGCTGGATCCCATATGGCCAACTGTGTGGTTCAAGTTCTGTACTTAGAAAACACACCAGGCACATATGCGTGCATGCCCCAAATGCCAAGAGGCGAATGGATGAAAAGGGATTGCAGTGTAGGCCATCCCGCCTGGGGAGTGCTTTCCCACTTTCACTCTCACTAGTGAGTACACATGCACTCTGGCAAACTTTTTATTTAAAAGGGTGAATGAGATGGTCATCTGCCTCATGGAAATAAAGATGGCTGTACTTCCACTAAAGAATGGAAATAGTCTCTAAAAAGGAAGTGAGTGGTTACTAGAAAGTTTTGCTCTTTCAAGTAGATGCTACAAACAGAACACCAACGTTTAAAGTCAAAGCAATGAAGAGTTCTAATGGCCACAGTTGACCAATTTTGATCAGTTTGGGAAGTAACTCTAAGTTATCATTGTGTTTTACGGAAGGGATGACATAATTGAAAATGAGTATTAATAAAAATCCGAACCTAAAGCTTTAGAGCATTAAAATGAGAGACGGGTACTTTTGAAGAAGTACCCTTACTGGATCAAGTACAAACACTGACAATATACTTTCTTTTTACTTTTTCTTTTTTTTTTCTTGGAAAATAGGCATGTAAGGTGCAACATTCCTAAGAGTACTTAGTCTCATCTCTAGTGAGAATTCTTTCCTAAAAACCATATTTACTTATTTATTTTTAATTGGGTCATCAGGAAAGTCATGATGCATTCTTGCATAGAAAACCAGAAAACACATGCCTTTCCTGACGACCTAATAGTTTTGCTATAGGGCAGGGGGAGGGGTGAGGAGGGCGTGTGGGGGTGGGAGAAATCACTCCCGTGGGGTGGGAAAAATCACTCCCGGGGGGTTGGGGGGTGACCATGTCACAACCCCTTCTCCTCTATTCTCCTCTTGGGATTTTGAGCACACATGCATACATGCCCAGTGTGTCCTTCAAGCCGCTGGGTCCGGGACTTGAACCACACTGTCAGCCACATGCGATCCAGCTGCTTTAACCACTATGCCACTGACTGGCCCTGGAAAGAATTCTTACGACAAAGATTGAGTATGAAAAAGATAACTACTAGTTGAAAATGGATAACGACTACAAGTTAATCAACTCTCACCAGTTACCACTAGAACTTTTTAGGACTTTTCGAAAAGAATTTAGAGAAATATATCCTAGACAATGGGGAAATGATTAGCTGAACTCACGTTCAATTTTAAAACTAAAGATTTTCAATTTCTAGAGGAAAATTGTTGTGACCTTCAAATAGCTACATTTGAATTAAATTCTCATTGGTCCTTTCAATAGATAACCCTTGGGGTCTAGAGAATATTTGAATCTCCATAGTTTTTACAGTGTGATGAGAGGTAGGAGGGAATTTCTGCCTGAACTCAGCAGGTGATGAACTTTATCCACTGGGGCCCTCTTGGTAACAATGTTATGTAAAATATCGTGTCGTGTCGAATATCCTATTTTACACTTAAGGCCCCTGGGATCCCAGAGTTTCCTGTAAAGATGATCTGAGTCTACTGTGTAGCTTGGGTCTCCTCCTTCTTCCTTAGGTCTGGCCTCCTGAGCCCACAGTGCTCACACCTCTGTGTCTGCCCACGAATGGGCTAAAGGCAGACTCCCTGTGAGGGACACAGGCAGAGTCTGGATGTGCGTGCTGAGACCACACATGTGGGCATACGACCCCTAACGGTGCAGGCACAGCAAGGGAAGGAAAGAGGCCATGGGAGAGCCAGTCCTCGCGCACTAGCCGTCCCTGCTCTGGAGCTCTGAGTAGCCCCCGAATTCTAAGTTCATCCTGGTTTTTCAGGTCATCCTGGAGGGATTACATATGCGTCCCTAGAAGTCTGAAACTGATTTAATGGTCTCTCTGCTCAATTTGGAGCGTATTGGTGGTTAGACTAGGGTTTGTGTGCCTCCACTCATGCCTTTGCTCTGATGCTTATTCAAACTCTGCTCTACACTCCCAGAACCACCTCATGTACTGCTTCCTTCTCAGAGACTCAGAGCTGCGCTGTCTGGCGTGGAGCCCACATCACTCCCAGGACCACCTCGTGTCCTGCTTCCTTCTCAGAGACTCAGAGCTGCACTGCCTGGCATGGAACCCACATATGACTTTTGAGCACTTGATATGTGACTAGTATGACTAAACAATAGAATTGTATTCAGTTTATCTTACTTAAATTTGTTTAAATTGAAACTGAAGCATTGTCATTTTTAGAAGAGATTGATTACATGTTGAAATTATAATACTTTATAGATATATACTGGGTCAAATAGAATTAATCCCACTTCTTTTTTTACTTTTTAAAAAATGTGGTTACTGGTGGGAACCAGCAGTTAGCATAATGGCTATGTCGCTGGACTCCCACGTAGTTGACCACAGTTCGAGTCCCAGACCCGGTGGCTTAAAACTCACGCCGGGCGCCTGTGCCTGCGTGCCCAAGATCCCGAGAGGAGAATGGAGGAGAAGGGATTGCGGCGTGACCATCCCCCCTGGGGGGTGATTTCTTGCTTTCGGTCTCTATGTCTCTCTCTGTCTGGTGAGCTATACAGAAAAAATCTCTCAAAAAAAAAAAAAATGTGGTTACTGGGACCAGCAGATGGCATAATGGCTACATCACTGGACTCCCATGCAGTCGACAGTGGTTTGAGACCTGGACCTGGTGGCTTAAAACTCACACTGGGCACGTGCATGAACCAAAAATCACAAGAGAAGAATGAAGAAGGAATTGCAAGGTGGCCATCCCCTCTGGGGGATGACTTCTTGCTTTCTGTGTCTCTGTTTCTCTGGTGAGTGAACATACCCTATAGCAAAAATCTCTCTCTCTCTCAAAAAAAGAAAAAGGTGGTTACCAGAAAATTTAAAATTTTATGTGGCTTATGTTATATACCTAGTGGATAGCATAGCAAGTGCATTACAGAATAAAGTCATCTATCACATTACTTTTGCACATATATTTTGATACTAGGATATACACATGTAAGTATTTCTTCATTGTTCCTTCCAGGTTAAAACTGTCTTCCTAGAAAGACAGAGCTTCTGTACAGAGTTGAGCTGTATTGTGAAATAATTAATGCTCATTAAACTGTTGCAAACTTGTTGAATGTTCAAAAGAGAACAGGAATTACTCAATCTTTTGTATTCTAAATCAGACATAGAGTGACTGGATTTGAACAGTAAGTTATTTCTGTCCAAGAATAAAGGACAGTATAAATCTTCGTATTTACAGAGGCCAAATCAGCTCAGAATTACTCGAGAACCGGTCTGTGAAAAATGTCTGTCTGAATCCTCTGAATAAAGGCCTTTCCTTACTTGGAAGGGATACAAAGAAGATTTCCCTTTCTCTTCTTGAACCCAGGAGACAGGGACTGATGTAGTAGCGAGAGGCTCTGCTGTGTACCTTGTCCCTTCTCCAAATCCCTTTTCCTGGAAAACGTGGGAACTATAATGCCGATAGCATCCAGAGTCCCCTAAGCTCTGGCTTTCTGGGAGAATCTACTCAAGAGTTCCTCCAAAGGCATGGCTTCTCTGGGGCTTGACTAACTTGCAAAAAGCTCCTATAATCTGACAACCTGTATATCTCATGGAATTGGGCCTACTGATTTCTTTCTGGAGACCTCTAGGCAATTTCTTCAACCCACCTCATGCAGCGCGAAGTTTCCAGAAGAGCTGGCAGACTGCCCAGACTTCCTCAGAAATTGGGAGAGTGTGGAGCCAGGCAATTGTTTTTATACTTTGAGCTACTTACTTCCTTCCTGTACCCAGGAAGGGACATAGGGAGTGCCATTTGTGTACCTTGGAGGTTTTAAGATTTGCAGAGACCATCATATTTAAGGCTACAAATTCTTAAATGCCATTACTTTCTGTGTCTCTGTTTCTCTGGTGAGTGAACATACCCTATAGCAAAAATCTCTCTCTCTCTCAAAAAAAGAAAAAGGTGGTTACCAGAAAATTTAAAATTTTATGTGGCTTATGTTATATACCTAGTGGATAGCATAGCAAGTGCATTACAGAATAAAGTCATCTATCACATTACTTTTGCACATATATTTTGATACTAGGATATACACATGTAAGTATTTCTTCATTGTTCCTTCCAGGTTAAAACTGTCTTCCTAGAAAGACAGAGCTTCTGTACAGAGTTGAGCTGTATTGTGAAATAATTAATGCTCATTAAACTGTTGCAAACTTGTTGAATGTTCAAAAGAGAACAGGAATTACTCAATCTTTTGTATTCTAAATCAGACATAGAGTGACTGGATTTGAACAGTAAGTTATTTCTGTCCAAGAATAAAGGACAGTATAAATCTTCGTATTTACAGAGGCCAAATCAGCTCAGAATTACTCGAGAACCGGTCTGTGAAAAATGTCTGTCTGAATCCTCTGAATAAAGGCCTTTCCTTACTTGGAAGGGATACAAAGAAGATTTCCCTTTCTCTTCTTGAACCCAGGAGACAGGGACTGATGTAGTAGCGAGAGGCTCTGCTGTGTACCTTGTCCCTTCTCCAAATCCCTTTTCCTGGAAAACGTGGGAACTATAATGCCGATAGCATCCAGAGTCCCCTAAGCTCTGGCTTTCTGGGAGAATCTACTCAAGAGTTCCTCCAAAGGCATGGCTTCTCTGGGGCTTGACTAACTTGCAAAAAGCTCCTATAATCTGACAACCTGTATATCTCATGGAATTGGGCCTACTGATTTCTTTCTGGAGACCTCTAGGCAATTTCTTCAACCCACCTCATGCAGCGCGAAGTTTCCAGAAGAGCTGGCAGACTGCCCAGACTTCCTCAGAAATTGGGAGAGTGTGGAGCCAGGCAATTGTTTTTATACTTTGAGCTACTTACTTCCTTCCTGTACCCAGGAAGGGACATAGGGAGTGCCATTTGTGTACCTTGGAGGTTTTAAGATTTGCAGAGACCATCATATTTAAGGCTACAAATTCTTAAATGCCATTAAAGAAAAAAAAAAAAGCCCATGAACTATTTTTAACAAAGCTCAGTTTCATATTCCTGTCGGAGAACCTCATTCTCCAAAAAATCTAAAATAAGTTGTGAAACAATTAGCTTCATGGTGGAAGAAAAAAAAAAATCCATGTGGAAGCCTAGAGGTTAAAGTAGCTAGATTCTAGATGGACAAACTTATAGTTCAAATCCCAGAAACGGCAGCTTGAGAAACATGCTGTGCATGTATGTTCATGCCCAGAATCCCAAAAGGAGGGAGAAATGGAGGAGAAGAAATAATGGTGTGGCCACGCCCCATGAGGGCTGGGTGCTTTCTTGTTTTCCCATTCTCTCTCTTTCGTCTCTCTGCAGTGAGTGCAAGTACCCTCTGGAAAATTAAAAGGTAAAAAAGAAAGAAAAAAATGTCTTATTACTATATATTGGGTTGTCAGAAAAGTCAAGACACATTTTGTGTAGAAAAAAATATGTCATGACTTTTCCGACAACTCAGTCTATCATAATGGGTTTCTTTGGTTGTTATAGAACTACTACAGGGTGGAGCTGTATCGTGCAATAGTTCGTTCTCATTAAACTTTTGCAAACTTGTTAAGCAAGAGATACTATAATTGGGACCAGCAGGTGGCATGGTAGTAATGGTGCTGGACACTCCCACATGGCCAACCACAGTTCAAGTCCTGGACCTGATGGTTTGCTTTCTCTCTTTCTCTCTCTCTCTCTCTTTGTGTGTGTGTGTGTGTGTGTGTGTGTGTGTGTATGTGTGTTTCCCTCTGGTCAAATTAAAATAAAATGAGTCAATAAATAGATAAATAGAATAAATAAAATTAAAATAGATAATTCTTTAAAAAATGAATATATTATAATTGGTTTCCTGGTGGTTATTGAACCAAGTGCTAGGTAACAGAGGAAGCTCGAAAATGAACACACACGATCCCAAATTCACAATCCAGACAGGAAAGGAGACACATACAAACAACTCTACAAGAATTCAGGGAAATAACTCTTTAGGAGATCCAATGATGTTGTAGAATTCTACTCCTGAGAGCAAGGATGAAGGTACTCAAAGCTTGACAATTCTATGGCACTTTTTAAAATCACTTGATCTATAAGTGCACTAAAAGCAAACAAGAGAGACTGAGGTCACCAGTCTGTGTTTGTGGCTACAGGATGAGTGGCTTACCTGTGATATAAAAGCTTATGTTTCTTTCCACAGTCCCTACTTTATTGGAAGCCACACAACTGTAGATTCCAGAAATTCTAGAGTCAGCCACAACCAAGGTGCTAGCCATCTGCAAAAGAAAAAGAAAGTTTAGCTAGCAGACAACGAACTACTTGAACATCCCTAAGCGACTTCTGAGGGTTGAAATGATTCAGCTATTCCATTCATGCAGCAAAGAGAGTATTGCATGGGTGGTGGTTACCAGAAAGCTTTCTTTGCTGAGCCCCAGCAAGAATGGAAAAATAACAGGAAAGCAGGTCCTCAGGAGACCGGGGCCTATGACATCCGACTCATATGAGGGTTTCAGGCTTATTTATCTCATGCTGCTGCCGTAACAATTACAGACCTGAAGCTGAGCTGTGGGACTGCACGTCCCACCCTACGAGGTGGTCAGTTCCACATCAATGAGAGGAACAGGTGAGGCTGAGACCCGCCCTTTTGTTTGGGTGGCTGAGAACATGGATGCCATTTGAGAGCGGGAGCTCTGACTGCTGTTGGGCTCTGTAATGGGTATATTGGGCTGTAAATATAAGACGAAGTTCAGCTGAACCATTTCTTCTACATGCAAAGAATGTGGTATACAGCCCCGAATGGTCCTTAAATGAGGCCACGAGGCCGCAAAGCTCACTAAGAGTGACATGCCTGTGTGTTTAACTGTGAGTGACTTACTTTCCTAGTTCTGTCAATGCCTAATCTAGAAAACAAAGCTATCACTTATAAATTAATACAGTAACACTGTCTCACTCCATTTTAGCGCCATTTGATAATTTAGCCTCTGAAGAAGCATTGGTTAGTGTGCACAAACTTGAAAACACTTTTCCAACCGTGATGTCTAAAAAGCAATACAATGAAAATTTGGACAGTTTAAAGACTCACGCTGTCTTCTTTTAAAGAAAAAAATTAGCGATATGAAACATATCATTGAGCATTCCTAAATTCAACCCAACCTTACATTACAAAGTAATGCATACTCTATATGAAAAAACTGAAACTAGTTTTTCATACCTAAAATTACAAAAAAAAAAAAAAAAAGAAAAGAAAAAGAAAAAAAATGATCCAGTTACTTATAATTCTCTGTAGCCTATGTTCTAGGACACAACTAGTCGTGAGCTTTAGAGCTGTGCTGCCCAGTGCAGTGTCCTAGCTGAAGTGTAATGATCGGGTCCCTTAACAGTCTAAAGTAATGTATAGGCCACAGTGAGACCACGAACTTTCCAAAGTGGTGAACACACTCTGTAAGAGGCGTGGTCGCTGGGAAGACTTCTGATGTTTTCTGAACTGCCAAGTCATGCGCGAGGCACTTTACTTGTATTCTCTTATTTCAGCTAATGAATTAAGGTATTTCTGTCTTTAATCTACAGATTAGAAAGACTGAAAAAACATGCTTCTAATTTCTTTTTTTAACCAGCAAATTGATGACTCCAAATTGTCTGTAGTGTTCTCTGTGGTATAGTGAGTACGATACAATGCTTTCTCTTCTGAGTGTTAAAAGAATCAGCTTAATTATATCCACCTATATATTCTCTGGGTAGTATTGAAATGATTGGTAATGAAAGTGTTTGCATAATGTGGCACTTTTCATTCAATCCAGCAGACATTTGCCAAGTGATTATCAAGACAGTGTCCACATGTCTGTTGTAAGGGAGACAGAGATGGTTAAGACACGATACTTGAAGATCAAATACATGTTATTCTCTTTTGTAAGGAAATGCTCACACAAAGGCAAATAACCAATGGCGAAGAGTATAAAAGGGAGCTCCATTATCACTTTCCTTATTTCGATTATTAATCTTTGTAAGGAGTAGGAAATAAAAAAAAAATTAGGGAGCTACTGGGTTGTCAGAAAAATCATGCCACAGTTTTTGCGTAGATAAAACCCAGAAAAATGTCAAGACTTTTCTGATGACCCAGTGTTTCCTTTAATAACTGAACCCACCACTTAAGAGTCATGGAAATAGTTAGAAGAGAAGCTCATGGATGAAAAAGTAAAAGGAACTGTTAGCTGGTGGCAACTGAAGGACAGTAAGGATCATCAAACAGGACTCCGACTCCCTACGCTGGACCAGGAAACTTGGGCTCAGATGCTTCAAGGAAGTTTATCACAGGTGAGAAACAAGGGGTTCCCATGAAGCTTTCTACTGCTTGCCTGTCAGCTTTAGCACTGCTTTTCTTTCAAAGTTAGCTGCAACTGTAAGCCGTGTTTGGCTTTTATTTTTAAAAGGGTTTTTAATTAAAAATTTTTTAAAGAATTATTTTATTTAAATTTATTTATTTATTTATTTTAATTTGACCAGAGAGGGACAGAGTGGGAGTGAAAGAGAGTGAAAGAGAGAGGAGAGTAAGTAAAAAAACAAGCTGTCAGGTCCAGGACTCGAACCAAGGTTGCCCATATGGGAGTCCAGTGCCTTTAATCACCAAGCGACCTGCTGGCCCCTAAAAATACCAAATTTTTTAAAGCGTTTTTGCCAGAGGGTCTGTTCACTTGCCACAGACAGACAGAGAGAGGGAAAGTGAGAAATCACCCCCAGAGGGATGACCACACTATAATCCCTTCTCTCAGGATTTTGGGCAAGCATGCGTATGTGCCTGGTGTCATTTTTTCAAGCTGCCTGGTCTGGGACTCGGACTGTGGTTGGCCATGTGGTAGTTCAGCACCTTAACCACTATGCTACCTGCTGAATGCTTGAAAATAATTTTGCTTTCACTGAACTCAGAGCAACCGGGAACAAGCACTGAGTTTTGTGGCAAGGTAAAGTTAATTCAGATGTACACATTTGCCATCTGTAAGACCTGTGCAGGTAATCTGGGTATGATGAACTATTTTACAAGTCTCCAAGAAATAGTCGGATAGGTCAGAATTTTTGTATAGTCGAAAATAAAATTGAGGAACCCAGAAGCAGAATGTCACATAATAAACTATGGCAATGGGAATGCTTCCGATTCTGTCCTCTTTTGCCTGGATGCCACCTTCCAGAAGAGACACCTCATTGTACCCCGAAATTACATATAAAGAAGAAATTACATAATAAAATAAATGACAAAAAAAGACACCTTACTCATGAAGCCAGCTCCAGAACTCTCTTTTCCTAAGTTTCTATTAAAAAAGAAGAAGATGATGTGGACAGGAGTTTATTAGGTCATTGGGAAAGTCATGATGTAGTTTTCGATGTGTTCTTTTAATGCAAAAATGCACCATGACTTTCCCGATGACCCAATATTATTTCTTTGTTTCTGGATACTTTTATATAGCCCTTGCCATGCACCAGAGAGTGTGTGAGGCCACTTTATAGGCATTGTCTCATTTGATGCTTCTTATATTCTTTCTTATGAGACGGGTGTATCATCCTATTCTACAGATGAGGCAACTGAGGTTAAATAATTCACTCTAAGATACGCAGGGCTACAGACAGACCTGAGCGGCATTGAAGCCTGGGTATGTCTGGGCCAGTGCCTATGCTCTTCACCTATACTAAGCTGCTTCATGCCTTAAGACTCTGGTTTTAAAATTATGATTTAATTTAATTTTTTTTTTTACTTTTTGTATTTTTTTTTTTACATTTAATTGTTGTACACCTTTGTGGGGGTACAGTATGGGTTTTCAAAGCATGCATGCACCATGTAATAATCATATCAAGGATATTACTATATTCATTATCTTCAACAAAGAGCATTATGTAAACGTACCTTTGATTTCTGATCCAGTAAACTGAATAACAGAGATTTACTGAGAAAGTTGTCTACTGTTTGAATTGCTTTTTCTCTGAGAATACCTCCTTTAATCAGTAGAGAGGGTCACTGAAGCTAAACCTACTATGTACAGAAATGCTAATGTCGGGACCAGAGGTTAGCGTAATGGCTATGTTGCTGGACTCCCACGTGGTCGACCGCGGTTCATGTCCCAGACCCAGTGGCTTAAAACCCATGCCAGGCGCGTGTGCGTGCGTGCCCAAGATCCCGAGAGGAGAATGGAGGAGAAGGGATTGCGGTGTGGCCATCCCCCCTGGGGGGTGATTTCTCGCTTTCTGTCTCTATGTTTCTCTCTGTCTGTCTGGAGAGCGCATGAGCCCTATGACAAAAACCTCTCAAAAAAAAGAAAAAAAAAAGAAATGCTAATGTCATAGCATTTTATATAAGCTGCAAGAAGTTTTTAAACTGATGTAATGTTACAAGGTTTGAGAATATGTTCGACAAACAAAAAGGCTATAATGAATGAAGAAAACTTCAAAATAATGTGAAGCATATGATGAACTTTGTCAAAAATTATTTCATTTCTAAAGTACTCTTCTTTCAGAGACTATATTTTAAAATTATAAATGAAAAAATAAGAGATATTTGACAATTAAAGTTTAAACTTTACAGAATCAGAGAAAGGAGCTTAGATGTGAGTTGTAGGTCAGGGTAGTTTAGCTGAACTAGAAGAGGCATTCTCATTGGACAGAAAGTTTCAAAGTGTGTTTTCTTTGTTAAGTAGACAGATCTGTAACCCAAAGCTTATAACCAAATCTGTGGTTTTCAAAGGAAGAGAGAGAGAGAGAGAGAGATAGCATAATAGTTGGTCCAACAAATATTAATTTAATGCATTAAAAGAGAAATTGCCAAAAATGTGAATTATAACATGTTTGAAATTATAATAGTTCATTTCATAAGGCACACTGAAAGAAATTCTTAAGGATGTTGGTGTCCATTTTTATTGTTCTATAATTGTCTTTTGTTTTCCACAATTGAAAAGAAATGCAAGAAGACCGATGAAAAGAAAAAATTTAGTACTAAGACAGAACATCAAGTTCGTATCAGTCATAAGAGGTAACAATTCTTTCACACCTACTTAAAATTCACAGTGCCTCATCACCTATGACAAACACGTACTAGAAAAACTCAGTTCTGCTGTTGATAGTTTGGGATAAGCAGCCTTTCTGTAAGGTTCCCAGTTCAGTTTAACTACTCTTGTTAAAGGACTCATACTTTTGACACCTCATTTTTCCTACTTTCATTTTGAGGATGCTTCCACATGCTCTGTTAGGTCCTTAAGGACTTAGATATTAGAAACAGAATTGGCTTCAAGTCCATTCTCTGGGTTCTTTGCATGACCAGGAATGCTCATGACAACTGTCGTCAAATACTGTAAGTTCGGAGTTTCTTCATGGTCCTTCCTTCCTTCCCTTCTGCTCAGCATTAGTAATTCATGACTACAATGTCATTTGAACTGCACAGAATAGAATGGATGGGGTGATGTGTCACTCAGCTTAATTTCCAGCACTAGGTTTTAAAAGTTCTATATATGGAACAGTGATTTTAATCTCGGGATGTTTCTAATATAGCTTCCTTTTAAGTGTTTCATGGAGGAATAAAAGTAGCTGGGTAAAGGCCATGGAAGAATCTAAAATTAACACAGGGTGGCATATTTTATCTGGTTATGAGAAAACATAATATGAGAATTAGAAAACTTTGGGGCATGTGTGGGAACTGAAACACAAGCTGTAATCCCGCAATTAGTATTACTGCTTTCGTCATGGACTTGTCTCATACAGTAGATGCACGTCTCATGTGTAGTCAAAATGATTTCGATGGAAATATTGCTGAAACATGAAAATTGTCACAATTCTCCAGACTTATGAAATTCATGCTGTAATACCTATTTCCTGTGTGTTTTTTCTAACACACGGTTCCTTTGACTTCCTACTCCACCTCTACAAACCCAATAGGCGGGCAATCCTGCTTTATCAGTATAAAAACTCCACATTTGTTACTGGCAACTCCAATTGGTGACTCACTTTTTACAAATCTGGGTCAAAACCTGCCAATAAGGAAGCTGGATTTTATTGTCCTTTATACTCTTCCTTGAGTTAAACAAAAAAGGGGGGAGGGGAGGAAAAAACCCCATTCCCTGAAGTCCAGCAGGCGTTCCTGCATGGGTGCTGCACCACTGCTCTGCAGTCGGGCCTGCTGGGCAGCCTTCCTGGGTCACTATGCTAAGAGGACATCACAGTCTATGTGGGGGCTTTCATTTACTTTCTAACAATCTTTAGAAAATAAGAACAGTTCAATCGTAAAGGAAGAGCATATAACTCAGAATCGGCGAAGCCTCTGTTTGTCACCATCATCTGAAAGGTAGGTTTATTTACACACAGAGACATATGAGTAGGTACCAGACGTAGTAACGCTCCGAAATTTTGAGCAAGAGATCCATACTTTACTTAAATTGTAGTGTGCTACAATTCTAGCTGTTCCTAAGATATGTACCGTATGCATATTTCAGTTTTGTTTAGAAAAGGTACTCATGGTTTTTCTCAATGCAAACAATTGTTTAACAATAGTCCTCATTGTATAGGATCACAACCAGTCTGGGGGACTGCATTAGGGCAGATGTAACATTAACTTTACTTAAGTAGAATTTGTAGAGAGCTTTCTCATGATGTAATTTTATTTCATCCTTATAACAGGAAGGTAGGTAGGGAAAATATCATAGCTCCATTTTTTTTTCCTTTTCTTTTTTAGGAGGAGAGATAACTCAGGTTGACAGAGGTATGTGTGGTTAAACAGGTAAAAGTGGGAGAGATGGACCCCTAAGCTCCTGACTGCTGACAGGGTAGCACAAGTGCCAACTCTGCAGAGATCTGCATTTAAAATCTTCTGCAGAGGTTCCAGTGGGTGGCATGGTGGTTAAGGTGCTGGACTCCCACATGGCCAACTGCAACTTGAGTCCCAGACCTGGTGTCCTGAAAATCATGCTGGGCTTGTGTGCGTAATGTGCCCAAAATCCCCACAAGGAGAATGGAGGAGAAGGGATTATGGCATGGCCATCCCTCCTGGGGGATTTCTCACTTTCTCTCTCTCTGTCTCTCAGGTGAGTGCCAGGATCTATGGCAAAACCTAAAAGAAAGTCTTCCGCAGAACTACCGAAGAACAAGAAATAAACTTGTTTTCGGCCTGCACAAAGAAGATCATGAACATTCTTTATCTCAGCCAGGTTTTTGCTTTATAGCTTCCTTTTTTTTTTTTTTCCAGATATTATATACAGAGCCTGGTTGTTACCTATGGTTCAGGCTAATCAGAAATCTCCCTGGCTTTTTCATTTTTCTATGTTGCTTCCTATTGAATATTTTTGTGGCTAGGATACTAAAATAGGACTAGAAGTTGTCCCTGGAATTAAGCTCCAACTTCTTACTTTAATATCCAGCAGTGAACAGTACATCTGCCCACTATGGTCAGGAAAAGGCAAAAGGAATGGAAACAACTGATGGCATCTTGGAGTTTTGCTAGTACTCTGTGACCACCTGCAAAAGTGGGAGAGATGGACCCCTAAGCTCCTGACTGCTGACAGGGTAGCACAAGTGCCAACTCTGCAGAGATCTGCATTTAAAATCTTCTGCAGAGGTTCCAGTGGGTGGCATGGTGGTTAAGGTGCTGGACTCCCACATGGCCAACTGCAACTTGAGTCCCAGACCTGGTGTCCTGAAAATCATGCTGGGCTTGTGTGCGTAATGTGCCCAAAATCCCCACAAGGAGAATGGAGGAGAAGGGATTATGGCATGGCCATCCCTCCTGGGGGATTTCTCACTTTCTCTCTCTCTGTCTCTCAGGTGAGTGCCAGGATCTATGGCAAAACCTAAAAGAAAGTCTTCCGCAGAACTACCGAAGAACAAGAAATAAACTTGTTTTCGGCCTGCACAAAGAAGATCATGAACATTCTTTATCTCAGCCAGGTTTTTGCTTTATAGCTTCCTTTTTTTTTTTTTTCCAGATATTATATACAGAGCCTGGTTGTTACCTATGGTTCAGGCTAATCAGAAATCTCCCTGGCTTTTTCATTTTTCTATGTTGCTTCCTATTGAATATTTTTGTGGCTAGGATACTAAAATAGGACTAGAAGTTGTCCCTGGAATTAAGCTCCAACTTCTTACTTTAATATCCAGCAGTGAACAGTACATCTGCCCACTATGGTCAGGAAAAGGCAAAAGGAATGGAAACAACTGATGGCATCTTGGAGTTTTGCTAGTACTCTGTGACCACCTGCTACTGCTGGCAAACCGAGGCAATTCCCTTATTACAAAAAAGTGGTATCAAACACTTTGAAGTTTATAGAATTTCCTCTTTTCTAAGTATTTTATTAAACCACTAGTTCATAAAAACCTATGCATCATGGGGTGTTTTAAAGCTACTGCTTATTTGTGTTAAGAGAAAAAGATTTGTCATCCATCTGCAGGTACGGCTGCAGTTATAAAACCTGTCCCTGCATCTTTGACAATGACTGCTGATGTATCATATAAGCTACTGCCTCTTTAATCTCTTAGTTTGTTGGCTCTGAGACCCACTCGACTTTGGCTTGCATTTTTTATGTACACTTTTAAGCTCTGTGGCTTTGGGTTAATCATCTTATCACCCCAAATTTTTCTCATCTTTAAAATGGAGAAACCACACTGTCCTGCCAAAGAATGATTTTGATGTCAGGATATGTCAAAGAGTTTTACATCATGAAAACTACAGATGTCATTTGTTAATAGTGTTAAATTCTACATGGAGAACGGTGCCATCCACTTTTTAGATCGATAGATAATATGAGCATAATCACACTCAGACAGTGGCATCTATATTCATAGTTTCTACTCCAATTCAAGATATACATGTATCAATAGACATTGTAACAGGTGGTTGTTTGATATTTTTACTTTTTAAAGCGTCACTATCCCTGTGCCTGATAATAGCAGATTTTATGTGTACGCTTCACTAACTCGGCAGGAAAATAGCTACTAGATCTGAGATCCATTGAGACTTGCTGGTTCTCAGGGTGTCAATCATTGCCAAGGCTCAGTAGGGGTTAGGGGAGTAGAACATGACTGGTGCAGAAGCCTCAGAAAAAACACCTGCTGGACCCTGAGTAGGTCGAGGGATCTTGATCGGCTATGTGTGTGTTTGTGTATCCCAACTTCGCCTTTGCTCTTGCAAAGACAGAGCGATACACAGGACGCTTTGTGAAATGGAAGCATTCCATTTTAGCCTAAACTCTTATTCTCGGTTTTGCTTATTGGGATCCCACTTTCTGTACGTCAGTGATTCTCAGTCCTGGTTCTATGCTAGAATCACCTGGGAAGCTTTGTGAACTCTGGGCTCCACTCCAGGAATTTGCATATAATAATAGTTGGTAGAATATTCTCATATGATCTAGGATTGAGAACCACCAGTATGGGCCAAACTGATGTCAAGAGGTCAGCTCTGCCTCTCTCATCATACAAGAGTACTCTTTATCTTGGAGCTCACTCGTGGTGAGATGGAAAGACAGCAGTTTGCCATAACCCAGAACTGGGAGCTGAGAATTGTTAGAATAATAGCCCAATGCTCGTTTTTACAAACAGTACCTTATTCTTTCCTTCTATTATGGACATGCGCTGAGTGATGCTCTCAATTCTATTTCCTATGTTGCTGTCAGGATCCAGGACTAAGGGCTCTTCGTTATTGGAACAAAAGTCATACCTATTTTAAAAAAGAAAAAAAAAAAGCAAAAAGTAAGTCATCAAAATGTTTCTTTGCAGCGTGGTCCAGCCAGAGGGAACGGATAAATCTTAAGATAACAGAGTAGCAAATTTTGACTTTTCTCCCTCTATTTATCCTGTAAAACTTAAAAACAACAAATATATTTGCCTGCTATGAAACACACACCCCTCCAATGTGTTGCCGTGTATTTTTTCCTATGTTAGGTGTTAACTTAAATGCATAAATTAAAAAATGTAATATCTAGATTTTAATTAGTTCCTAGTGGAAATAACATGCCAACACAGGGGAAAAGTTGTTACTGAATGGAAAACTTGAGGACATAGCAGCATTTTCGCATTTATAAAAAGGCTAGTTTTAAATCAGAATATTTAGTTTATCATTAATATGTTTCTAAGGCTAACTAAGGGCATAGGGAGGCAAACATCACAGAGAAATTATTAAATTCAGTCTCTCTCTTTTCAAGTCTGGAGTTATCACAGAGAGTTCTTTAAACTTCTCAGGGCTTAAGTGTTTAATTATGAAATAAGAGTGTTGAAGTTGTTTGTCTTTAAGATCCATGAGATCTCTATTTTAAGGATTGCATTATTTTGCACTCTTACCTCCTACACCAGAATTTTTGATGATCAGAAGATGGCTGGTTTCTAATTTGTACATGTCTTGGGCAGATTCTGGAGATTTCTAAACCAGGAGGAATTTTAAAGTCCAATTTCCAGAAAGAATTAGTGGTTGAGTTTAAGTAGCCAAGAGCAGCAATTGACTTATGTGAAATGAAATTGAGAGAACAGAGTAAATAGAAGGGATTGAGATGATCAGAAACTGTTATTATTCCTCTTGGGTCCTTGAGCCAAGAAAGAACTCTAGCATGTTCAGCTATTGAGTCTGCTGGGGCAGGCACCCCCTCCCTTACACTGCCTGCCCTGCAGGTCCTCCTGCAGAACCCTCACCACCCTCTAAGTGTCAACTCAAGGCCTCCGAGGCTCCACTGGGCTGGCAGCTACACCGGGACCCAGGCCAAATTGATTTATTCTGTGCCCATAGCTAAGCAAGGGCCTAACACGCAATCAGTACTCCAGAAACATCTGAAAACATACAGACAGGCAGGAGGTACCCATTACGCTGTTTCTAGTGAGAATTTCCATTTGTTTTAATTGTTTATCATTTTCAAGTAAGGCACAGAGTAGATTAAGCTCCTATATACTCATCACCCATATTTCACAATCATCAAAATTTGTCACGTTTGCTTCATCTATCACTTATTTCTTTTAATTTATTTCTTTGGTGAAATAACAGCTGATCCCAGACATTCTGTCATTTTAGCCCTTCAGAGGGTATCTCTAAATAATATACACATTTTCTAATATAACTATAATGTTCTGTTATATCTAAAGAAATAAAAATAATTCCATGGTGGTGTTTGTGTCTAGATTGTATGTCAGATTTTCCCAAATGTTTTTAAACATGTCTGTTTTTACAGTTAGATTATAAGATTTAAAATAGAAAAAAAGATGGGGTGACCATTCCTTAAGGAATTTCTGCAAACATCTACTAGCTATTCCTTATAATAATCTGGTAAAATAAGTGAACTCCTTTCTAAGTTTTTATTTATTGAGTCATCGGAAAAGTCATGATATACTTTTCTGTGTTCCTATGCAAAAATGTGTCACAACTTTTCCAGTGACCCAATATTTCACTGAGAGAAAGTGAGAGAGAAACAGATGAGTACCTCGCCCGGGTGTCTTCATGCTGGGATCCTCTCCCATCCTTCCCTCTAGCCTTCCAGCCAGCAAGGATCCCAGGCATTTTTGCCTGGTGTGTTTCAGGTCAACCTGGGATCTGAACCGTGGCCTTCAATAAAACTCCAGTTTTGCAAAGCAGCACCCTACTGCCTACACCACCAAAACTAGGTCAAATATATGAACATTTTAACCCTTTCTGATTAATAGATTAAACTGAACTAAAAAGAAACTGTCCATGTTCTCCTTTATTAGAAACATCTTAATGACAAAGATCAAAATCATTATATAAAAAAACACTTATTTTTCTTTATCCATATTCTCCATTTTTTAGAATGTAAGAGCCAGACCTTGAACTGCTCTTTGTGTCTTCCCATCTTTCACACACTCAATACAGAGGGGTATTTATTATGTGTATATACACGTATGTATACCCATGTGTACACTTACACTTACATTAGACATGTGCATGTGTACTTGGGATTGTGACGTCAAACAACTGAAGTTCTCTTGTATATGAAAGAGAAGCTCTTAGATTTCATTTATTATTTTTTTCCCCCCAAAGCAATGAGAAAGATAAGGAAGGCCTTCATCGAAGATCTTAATTTCATACTAATGGGCTTCAGGAAATGCAAAGAAATATGTTCGAGTAAAGCAAGTCTAGGCATTTCCCAAGGGAAATACAGTCTGCTGTCTGAGTTCACTTGGGGCTGTAGACCTCTGACGCCCCTCACGTCTCCTTATCACCCACCCCCTAGGACTCGAAGGCTAATTACTACACAGCCTGAGCATGGAAGCTATAGGCCAGACTGACTGCTAGGTCTTCCAAAATGAAAAGGACAGATTCTTGTGGCTTTATTTTCTCACTTACAGGCTGTTATTTTTCCCTCTTGTAATTGGAATCATAAAAATAGAATGTCATTTAGGAGGCTGACTCTATAACAGTACTTGAAAAGAGATTTAGGGGGAGGGGAGTTTGCCTAAGCCTTAAGAATACATCAAGCCCTTAAGGAAGTAGATTGTGCCATGTTTGAAGATGCAAAGATAATCACTGTGCTGGGAACCGTCTTGAGGGGGGAGGAAGCTGAACAACAAGAGGAAAGCAGCGTTCGCTCTTGATTTCGCACAGGAAATCCACAGCACCTCCTGCCAAAGCGAGATAAGAAAGCTCCCATGCACTATTCTGGACAAGGCCACTGTTATCACCCTGGGCTCGGTGCTGTCCTCTCTATGCTCCAAGCCTCTGTCCCTTTACTAATGAGCTTTAGGACTCCTACCTCCATTTGCATACAGCGTGCCAAGTACAATAGCATGGAGGTATTTATAACCAGTGAAAGGAAAAAAAGAAATTCTGGGGTAAGCGTGTACTCCATGTCATCTCTGTCAATGGCTCTGGAGTTGAGACAACTTAGTTTTGGACTAGAGATGGATAGAAATGAAAGAAAATGGTCAATTACGTTTCCAACCCATGGATCTGAGACCCTTCAAGTGGCATGTCACTCTTTTGAACTCCAGGTAGGGCCATCAGTGGCACTCGCCTATCTGGTCTAGGAGTCTTCTTTTCTTGACACCTAACATGACACAGCCACCCTCCACACACAGGTAGATGACACTACTGATGTACGTGGTCTGGGTTGATTTTCTTGTGGTGGTAACAGATTTGCCTGTTCCTTCTATACTCATAAATACATGGCTCCTTTGTGATGAAAGACAGACGACGGCATCTGGGGCCATGGTAGAAGGCAAAGCCAAACGGGTCAATCCCACCGTCTTGACAATATTGACTACTGGTAGAATTTGTACTCGGTTCTGGCTCATTTCAGAATCTGTGCACTTAACCTTTACACCACAGGTAACACGATATCCATGTACCACTATCACAAAACAAGAAATTGTTACACTCCAATGCTGCTTTGCATATAGGAGGAAAAGGCTTTTCAGCTATGCACTACCTCCAAACCATTGCTGCATTGGAAATTTTACATTTTTTTAAGCTCTTTTGGTATAACACGGTTAGCTTTTTCCCTAAAATTTGGTAAACATCTCTCATCTCAAATAACCAAAATATATTGACTGCCCTGTGCATGAACGTTCTGCAGCTACAGTTTGTATTAGCACCCGTTTTGTCACCCTGCAGTTCCTGCACTCAACTCAGTTTCCATTCATCTTTGCAAATCCAGCACTCACAAAATGCAAAGCACGTCTACACACGAAGGAAACTCTTTCATATTCCCCCATGCTTTTTCTTCAGTGCTAGTTGTGAACAATTACGATTTTCAGATTCTCTTCATCCCTCCTGCCTGTCTTTTCCCTCCTCTCACCTAAAACTTGGAGCTAGTATTTTCTTTTCTTTTTAAAGAATTATTTATTTAACTTTATTTATTCATTCACTTATTTTTAATTTGACCAGAGAGAGAGAGGGTGAGAAAGCAGCCACCAGGTCTGAGACTCAAACCGTGATTGGCCATGTGGGAGTGTCCAGCGCCTTAACCACCACACCACCTGCTGGTCCCCCACTTTCTTTTCTTTAGAGGACAGATTATTGCATCTGGTGGGACCAGAAGCCAGAGTCCAGCAGGCTGAGCTTCGGCCACTGACTCAAAGTGTTTTCTTGAAGTGGCTGTCTCAGGTGAGACGATCATAAACCTTCGGAAGAACTAGGTGGGATGGTTCTACCCTCCCTTCAGCCTTTCTAGAAATCGCCTACCTGTTCAGTGCCTGTTATGACACCCAAGTCTCCTGTAGTTATCCAGTTTAAAATTCTCGCTTTATAAGTTATTTCTTGCAAGTGTAATAGCCACTTTAATTCTATGAGGTCTATTACATAGCCCGAGTTTTAAGATAAAGAGATTTTTTTTTCTTTAAGGATCTCCTTTCATCTATGCTAAATGACATTAAACTGACCTTTCTTTCAAATTTCAACTGTTACTGAGTTGCTATGTGTGCCAGGCTTGGGCGAGGGGCTTCCCCAACGCTCACAGTCACCCAGTGAAGCAGGTCTCCTAACTCTCATTCAACAATTCCTTTTACCAGCCAAGAAACAGACTTAGAAAGGTCAAATGCCTTGCTCAGGTGCACAGGGAAGGAGCAGAGCTGGGATCAGAAGCCAGACTCCCCTGACACCATAGCTGAGCCCATCACACAGAGAGATGACTGTCCCCAGGGAGCCTGTTCAGACCTTTACTACCATGCTTCCCAGAGGAGGAATCTCGCTTGAGGAAATTGCTGGGACCCTTTGCATTCAAA